TTCGAGTTCGTTATGACCGTATTTTACTGTATATAAAACTTTATATCTCATAAGTCCAATATTCAACGATACAGTATAACGTATCAACGTAACGCGTCCTTGTTATCGGGGAAGTTTATATATATTAATATCTCGGATTGGCCTTGTTATTGATAGGGGATTTACCTATCTAAATGTAGATGTATTTCATTAATACTAACGATTGTAGTGAATGGAACTTGTCCTGAGCACCGACATATACGTAGCCGTAAGTGGGGTATAAAATGCTTTAAAATCCTTTTTGCTCAACCAACAAATAAAAATGATCCTACAAAAGAGGTGAGGTGAGGTGAAATGGGGTTTAACGTCGCGTCTAAGATTATTGCACTTATATAGCGACGTGCATGCACGTGTGTGTGTGTATGTGTGTTGCTGCTTGTACTAGTCCGGACTGATGCCGATTAATAGTGCTAGCTCACTGAGATACAATGCCGCAGTTTAACATGAATACCCCACTCGGACAAAGTATACTGACTCCGAGCCGACCACTCCTTGTTATAGCCCCTTAATGCCGAGCGCCTGACAGGGTACCATCTTTTAACGTCTTTTGATATGACGCGGCTGGGAATCGAACCCTGGACCTTCCGCTCTCCGGGCGGACGCTCTACCATTAGACCACGGAGGCGGTTCTACAAAAGAATGTTGATGAACGTCCAATGAGCGAAATGACAGAATGGGAAGTTTCTTAAGTCCAGTTATCCGCTGTTGCCAGCAAAATTGAAGATCTGGATAATATTGGTAATTCACTTATAAATAAAATAAAATAGCTGCTACATCTCTGTCAAGGCCTCTAATATAAAAGAATTATCTGTCATTTGCAAGTTTTTGTTTTCCAGGTTTCTGCAAACTTGCCTCCATCGTGACAATGTATAAGACGTCATCATAGTGCTCAAGCACTGCAAAGCTTGAACTTAATGCGTCTCTAAATGAATACGACTGCAGACCCCCAGCCAAAAATGCGACTCAATATAAATGCGACTAATACATATTAATTATTAAAGATTAATACATACATTATATTGAAACACACAGGATTAAATCATTAAAATGCAATAAAATGGTTCCTATATCTGGCAGCAGCAATACACAACAGGCCCTATTACACAAATAAATGCACTCACGTATGTTCAGAATGTGCAGTCGAATGTCTTAAAATGAGGCACATGCTCTTTTCTTGAATTCAGGGAAAAGTGTTGGAAACAGAAAAGTCGGTGTTTTCCGATAGGTATCCCGTCCCCACTGGGCAAGTAGATCAGACCCAAGTCAGATGGTAAAACAAGGCTTCGAATCGACATAGTCTCGCGATTAACGGTACAGCCAGCCGTTTTGGAAACTGCTACCTCGAAGGTGTTCTAATCATGTGGGTTGTACCGGGAGTTAATAACAGTAAACAAACCGTAAACAATCTCCTCCACGGAGCTCTCTATACCGGGAGGGTATCGAAGGTGTCAAGTACTGGGACGGAGTTTGGACAATATAAAAACTAAAGGAGGTCACTCGAAACTACTAGCTGTCAAGGTTACTTCCACAACTTGATGTGGTACGATTCAATCAATCCATTTGCTGCCAAAGTGACTGAGTATTGTTTGAATATATTCCAACAATATCACGGCGGTGGACACCAGAAATGGGCGAAACACAAATGTATAATGATCGGCACCGCACAGGGGCACAAGCCAAGGATCGATTAATCAGAAACCAGGTTTATACAAATAGAGCTCAAACAGCCAATCAAATCGCAGTTTTCTAGTTGGTTGGTTGGTTTGTTGTTTAACGCCGCACACAGCAATATTCAAGCTATATGACGGCGGTCTGTAAATAATCGAGTCTGGACCAGACCATCCAGTGATTAATGTCATAAGCATCGATCAACGCAATTGGGATCGTTGACATGCATCAACCAAGTCAGCGAGCCTGACCACCCGATCCCGTTAGTCGCCCTTAACGACAAACATAGTCACCTTTTACGGCAAGCATGGGTTGCTGAAGACCTATTCTACCCCGGAATCTCCACGGATCGACAGACGTGGACGCAGACGTCAAAGGCCACCCAATACGTGAGCCGAACTGGGCCATGCGTTGGAATAGGTGTGGTCAAGGCTCCCTTAAATTGTCATTGGGATGTTAATTCGACCATGCCACGTACTAAAATAGGTAATAATTTACAATCCATCTACATGTAAAGGTTTGTGTCTGTTCAAACAACAGAGTACCTGATGCATTTGATTGTTTCACGAGTGAAAGGCAAGGGTGTATGCTTAGTCCCTTTCTGTTTCAGCTTTCCACAAACGAATTGGTTAGTGGAACTGACCCAAAGAATTTTGGTGTCCAATTGATTACAACCATGGTCGTCTGTGTTTTATAAAAGTTTTATGGTAGACATGTGGAGGACACAAATTTGACGCATTAGTGATAAAATGATGTCCGACGCAATACTCTATTTTGACTTGTACCACATATTCCCATGGTTTTTTTTAAAGTGAACATTTGACTTGCCTTTGCATGTGTTTGTGACGGGTGCCACCATTCGGGCAGGATAGACTCACCTTTTCGCGAACACCTGATATTACTATTTGATAGTTATCCATAAACACGTGCTCATGATATAGTCGGAATTGGACAATCGACTCTATTTCTATTGGATATATTAGGGTAAATTACATTTTTTTCATTTAAGAACTGTAGGTGAATTAAGTTAGTAACGTTGGAGGACGGATGAACACAGCTGGAGTGTAGAGTTTTTCAAGTTGAGCACTTGTTTTGAACATATGAAAAGTTAACTTCTTATATGTCAACTTTTTTATTGTGAGGAACACAACGTTTCGGAGTATATGCTTACTCCTTCATCAGGTGACTTACTTACTTACTTACTTACTTACTTACTTACTTACTTACTTACTTACTTACTTACTTACTTACTTACTTACTTACTTACTTACTTACTTACTTACTTACTTACTTACTTACTTACTTACTTACTTACTTACTTACTTTGGAGATTTAACGTGCGCTTTCCGACTGATGCGTATTTCGCACACGGGCCCGGCCAGGCCATTTAATGTGTTTCCGAAAGGGGCGAAAGTGGTCTGTGCAACCCAAGAGGGGGCTTTAGGGGTTGCTTTTTAGAATTTGGGAATTTTGAGATTTGGAATAGATGCCGATGGGGTTGGGGAGGAGAACTAAGGGAGCTGGGTATGGTGGATGTTTTTTTTGTTTATGTGATTTTGATGTGGTAGGTTATTGTGTTTTTAGATGCGTTTTATTAGTTCCGTTTTGATTAAGAATACGCCTAAGGCCTTGGGCTGAGTCTGAGCCGTGCCAATTCACACTAAGATTGTGAGTTCGAATCCCGGATCGCCCCGATTATGTTTCTAGGTTTGTCAGCACCATACCCGTGCTCGTGGGTTTCACCGAAGTGGTAAACGTCTGAGACCTGCATCACTTCGGGCTTTCCTCCAAAATTAAGCTGACACGCCGTGATATAACTGGAATACTATTAAAAGCTGCGTTAAACCCAACTCACTCACTCACTCTTTCAGCAGGTAGAATGTTTTAAACAACATCCACTCGTCTTTTATTTCTGAAGTAAAGTTACAAACGAGTGTGGTAGATATTACATTCAGTTACTTGCTTTTTTAAATGTGTTTAAATATAGCGGTCTCTTATGCAGGAATCTCGTTTACGCAAGAAATATTATATGTTATGTTTGTATGTTGAACAAAGCCACGTAAATTTGGTAACGAAATTAAAACTGTTATTTTTAGAGTGAGTGAGTGAGTGAGTATGGTTTTACGCCGCGTTTAGCAATATTCCAGCAATATCACGGCGGGGGACACCAGAAATGGGCTTCACACATTGAACCCATATCTGGAATCGAACCCGGGTCTTTGGCGTGGCGAACGAACGCTTTAGCCACTAGACTACCCGACCGCCCCCTATTTTTAGAGAATTAAGGATTTGGTGATGTCTGGCTTATTCAAACATTTTGTAATAAACCCATTTTTTGTTTTAAACATGTTACGTCAGCGAATAAAAGACAGGGTTTTACAGGTTTCAAACTGACATAGTGATTTATCCGAAAGTCCACAAATGGCCTATTATACACAGTTAAAACGTCAATTTCATATGAAAACCCTTTCAGTAGTTACTGTATTACTGTAAATAAATTAAGGACCACATTGACTCGCTTTCAGTTTAGTTCTCACAATTTAGAAGTGAACGTGGTCGCCATTTTAATATTCATCGCGAATTTAGACAATGTAAAGTTTGTATCTTAAACCATATCGAAAATGAATATATCTTAACGCAAAGTGACACCAACCAGAATTTAACATCTTTCCAAATATTTTGAAGTTTAATACACGACTGTTGTCGCAAGAACTGTTATCAATGTCAATACAGCGAAGTATTTGTTTCATGCCAATGTTTCTAGAACCAAATACTGCAACTTTTATTGCATGTCATTATGTTAACACTGCTAAAGATAAAACATATCTTGTATTCTATACTGTTTGCAGCCAAATTGTATTTCGTTTGCACAAAAAGGCTTGTGAGCTACGAATTACTGAATAAAGGTAGGTGATGTGTCTTTCAATAGTTTAATAAGTGACACAGTTTATCGAATTCCATTGAGATATTAGTCACCGAAGCCAGAAATAGGCCAACAATGTTACAGAGCAGGGATACTGAAATAAAATTCGATAGGGACCCTGCGACATTCTGTTGAATATAATGTAATGAAAGACTCACAAATTACGAATAACGGTAAGCCAATCTCCGGTCAATTTTGCCCACACAGCAAACTTCCCCTATTATTGGTTTCAAAACAAGAAAAAATCAATGTGTTTTAATATTTCTCAAGCGACGTAGAGCAAATATAAAACCAAATCTGACCTTGTGATACTGCATCGATATCATATCTAATTAATTAAATAAGCCTCAAATAAGGCCGAACTTTCAACATTGAAGACAGTTCCAGCGCCCAGCGAAGGCAGTTCTAGCACGGTAGAGAAAAGGTAGGTTATTATAGTTCGGGTAAGGGAACGCCCATGCCATTCGAGAGTTGTGGAAAAAGGAGACACACACTATTATATTTAGAGTGAGTGAGTGAGTATGGTTTTACGCCGCTTTTAGCAATATTCCAGCAATATCACGGCGGGGGACACCAGAAATGGGCTTCACACATTGTACCCATGTCGGGAATCGAACCTGGGTCTTCGGCGTGACGAGCGAAAGCTTTAACCACTAGGCTACCCGACCGCCCCTATTATATTTCGAGAGCATCCACCATGTACACTGGACGAGTTATTTTCGTGTGTTTAACATGAGGGCAATTTTTCGGGAACAGTTTATTTTTTTCAAAATGGTCTAGAATATCAGATCAATTTTTTTTAACCCGGATCCCGTTCTACTCTTCTACACTCATTTGTTTACCTGTAGAACAGTAGAACGGGATACGGGTTTTAAAAAATTGATCTGATATTCTAAAACATTTTGAACAAAATAATCAGTCGTTTCATCTCTCGGCATTTAAAAAAAGTAGTAATGAGGAATTAATGTTGAACACTGTAAGGACATGTGCTTTTTATGTTTGTGATGCCATACCTCCTTCGACTATATGGAAGCCAAACGATTTTGGTTTGGTTTGGTTTGTTGTTTTACGCCGCACTCAGCAATATTCCAGCTATATGACGGCGGTCTGTAAATAATCGAGTCTGGATCAGACAATCCAGTGATTGATATCATGAACAGCGATCCGTGCAATTGGGATCGATGACATGCATCATACAAGTCAGCGAGCCTGACCACCTGATCCCGCTAGTCGCCTTTTACAAGCATAGTCGCCTTTTACCGCAAGTATGGGTTGCTGAAGAACTATTCTACCCCGGATCTTCACGGGTGGAAGCCAAACGAAGTTAGGGGACAATTACATAGCAGGAACGTGGGAGTCAAACTCTTGTCAAAACTCATGGACACACATAACCAAATGGATAGAACATTTTGTTGATTTGTTTGTTGTTTAACACAATATAAGTAATATTCCAGCTACTTGTCGTAGTTCTGAGTCTGGCCCAGACAATCCAGTAATTCACATCTTGAGCTTCAATCTTCGCTATTGGGATTCGATTATATCCGTCAATCAAGTCAGCGAGCCTGACCACTCGGTCCCGTTAGATAAGCATGGGTTGCTGAAGACCAATTCTAACCCGATTCTTCACGGGTCTGTGATAGAACAGTGTATTATTGTCCATCGGCGTCCATCCGCATATATTGCTGAACTATAACATACTCCGATTTGATACCTATGTCGTCAAAATCGGATAAGCCCTTCGAAGGAGGTCACGTCAGTTGAGCCCTGAGCGACCTTTGACCGCAAAATGAAAATGAAGCATGCTGGTTCTTTTTAGCCAAATTATCAACCCGATCCGCATCTTCCAAAGCCAAGGGAGTTAACTGACTAAAAATGTATAGTTTCCACAGGGTTGGCATTCAATAACCTCACTTGCCTCGGGAAGATGCTTGATCCGTTGCCAGTCCCAGTTGTCTGCTTAATATATTTTTTTACCTCCTCGGGACCGATTCGTAAAATTTGGTCTGAAACAATTGAAAACCCACACAAAAGTTTCCTCTCTGAACACCATTTTAGGTGAAGATGACAAGCGCTCAGAAACGAGAGGGGTTAAAATATTCACATTATTATTATATTGCCATTATTTTCTCTATTTATTTTCTGTTTACGTTCATCTTTAAGATGAAAACAGATTTGCTGCTCTAACTGTTTCGTGAGTTCGGACCGAGGACCTGGAAACCACGTGCTCTTCTCTGACTGGCTGAAAACAAATTCACTATTGAATAATTAATGGAGTTGTGTTTTCATAAACAGTGTAGATGTATTTCCAATAAAGTGGAGAAGAAAATGATTAGGACGATGTTGGTAGATGATTATAACCAAACCTTAGGCTTTGAAGCAATTTGGACGGAATCTAATTGTATCTGCTCTGATTTTTTTTATTTCATTCCCCTTGTAAAATAATATGGTACTTATCACCACACATCGTCACCGTTTATGAGAATGATTATTATGTGAAAGGCCGGGGATACATGCTATATATATTCTTACAGATCATGATGGGAACGCCGCTACTGCTGTTGTTCCTGATCCCACTGACGTCAGCCATAAATGGTAGGTCATTTTGGAAGGCTTAGTGATTTAAGATGTATTCACCCTCTCTAATCTACGATTTGGGCATGACACTAATTATATAAACTGACGAGCAAAAGAAACTATACCTCTCAGTTGGTTTTGTTATATGTTTGATTTTCAATTGAAAAAATCTTAAAGGGCAAGTAAAGTGAAGATAAAATATGGAGATTTTTCGGTGAATATTGATTTTCTTGAATATAATTACTAATAGTCAATTTCCGAGAGAGAAAAAATCATAATATTCGTAGAAGTGTTTAAATGTCCAAGTGAACGTGCTGAAACAACCTGGCCCGTAATCGGCTTCCAAAACAAACCCATTTGGGGACGTGGTCTGAATCTGTCGGACAGCAGTGACAACTGTTTTCAGTGGCTGATACGTTTGCCGCACTTATCTTTCTTGTGATTATCAGCCGTTATGTTTGTTTGTTTGTTTGTTTGTTTGTTTGTTGTTTAATGCCGCACTCGGCAATATTCCAGCTATATGACGGCGGTCTGTAACATAATCGAGTCTGGACCAGACAATCCAGTGATTGACATCATCAGCATCGATCCACGCAATTTGGGATCGATGACATACATCAGCCAAGTCAGCGAGCCTGACCACCCGATCCCGTTAGTCGCCTTTTACGACAAGCATTGTCGCCATTTACGGCAAGTATGGGATGCTGAAGACCTATTCTACCCCGGAGTCCAACAAAAATAACAACATTGTATATATTGTTGAATGTGTGAAGAGACGTTTGATCTTGACGTTGTTAATAATTTATATTATATAGCAATTAACATTCGGTAACTAGCGTTTTATTCCAAAATCAAATGGCTGCCAAGGATTAATTCCCTGAGCAAACAACCGAAGACATCTCAGGTGACATAAGTTGTGGATACGGTAATTTAATGGATGAGCAGACATATTTGATTAAGTTTACCCTAAAGTATTAAAAAAAGCAAAGTTACAGTGTTGACCTTCTTTCCCTTTAATTCAGCGTTATTATATCCAAGAAAAAGAAACTAACTGGTCATAGAAGACTTCTGCGTATTTTATTATTTATATGCAATTAGATTGAAAATCTTTGAAAAATAAACATAAAAATAAAAATTCGCAGCCTTCGCAATTCCTGATGGGTATCTTTGACATCTTATGATAGAAAATCTATTACCTTATTCGATTAATAGGCGCCCAGGGCGCTCTCAAATTTAGAAATAGGGGGCTCTTATTAGAATATTATTTGGTGCATATATTGTTGAATGTGTGAAGAGACGTTTGATCTTGACGTTGTGAATAATTAATATTATATAGCAATTAACATTCGGTAACTAGCGTTTTATTACTAAAATTCTTTTTGGGTAATAAAACAAAGGGGCCCTATTCCAAAATCAAATGGCTGCCAAGGATTAATTCCCTGAGCAAACAACCGAAGAAAATCTATTACCTTATTTGATTAATAGGCGCCCAGGGTGCTCTCAAATTTAGAAATAGGGGGCTCTTATTAGAATATTATTTGGTGCATATATTGTTGAATGTGTGAAGAGACGTTTGATCTTGACGTTGTGAATAATTAATATTATATAGCAATTAACATTCGGTAACTAGCGTTTTATTACTAAAAATCTTTTTGGGTAATAAAACAAAGGGGCCCTATTCCAAAATCAAATGGCTGCGAAGGATTAATTCCCTGAGCAAACAACCGAAGACATCTCAGGTGACATAAGTTGTGGATACGGTAATTTAATGGATGAGCAGACATATTTGATTAAGTATACCCTAAAGTATTAAAAAAAGCAAAGTTACAGTGTTGACCTTCTTTCCCTTTAATTCAGCGTTATTATATCCAAGAAAAAGAAACTAACTGGTCATAGAAGACTTCTGCGTATTTTATTATTTATATGCAATTAGATTGAAAATCTTTGAAAAATAAACATAAAAATAAAAATTCGCAGCCTTCGCAATTCCTGATGGGTATCTTTGACATCTTATGATAGAAAATCTATTACCTTATTCGATTAATAGGCGCCCAGGGCGCTCTCAAATTTAGAAATAGGGGGCTCTTATTAGAATATTATTTGGTGAAAAAAGACAGAAAGAAAGAGTTGAAAGATAAATTTCAAGGTGTATGCTGACAGCCTGAAATGTTTATGTACGACAGATACATTTTTCCAGAATTTAAATGGCCCTAATTAAGGGTGCATATAACACACGAGTGCGAATAAATAAGTCTTGTGGAAGGGGTGCTAATTGGGATTGTTCACTAGCCAATATATTAGCAAATATCGCCGTGGGAGCTTATTAGAGTCGGGCGCTTATTATGTCGAATACGGTAATGTCTTATTGCTGCACAAATTTACAGCATTTTCAAACATGGTAGGGACAAGTGGTTGCAAATTTATTTCATAGCCCAGTCTTCATTTTTGCACAAAATTACCCAGCTACAGATTACATTTTACAAACTGTTGCACAAATGGGTGATGGTTAAATTGACAAAATCAAATTTATTTAATTTTATTTTTCAATTACTATGAAAACAAACTTTCTTTAACCCTCAGTTTAGATCTGGCTTCATGCAGTTACATATTAAATGAGGGAAAGGTTTATAAAATGCGTTTTCTATACCATTAACAGTAAATGTTCTTTTACACTTGCACTTTCTTGAAGACTGAAACCAATGGGTAGATTTAATCTGACGTGTCAGGCCCAAGTGAGCGTGACAGTTAATTTGTTCACTATACACTCGGATTGGTGTTGACTGTATGTCATCGTAAAACAATGTTGTTGACTGTATTCATCGTAACATAATGGTGTTGACTGTATGTCATCGTAAAACAATGTTGTTGACTGTATTCATCGTAACATTATGGTGTTGACTGTATGTCATCGTAAAACAATGTTGTTGACTGTATTCATCGTAACATTATGGTGTTGACTGTATGTCATCGTAAAACAATGTTGTTGACTGTATTCATCGTAACATTATGGTGTTGACTGTATGTCATCGTAAAACAATGTTGTTGACTGTATTCATCGTAACATTATGGTGTTGACTGTATGTCATCGTAAAACAATGTTGTTGACTGTATTCATCGTAACATTATGGTGTTGACTGTATGTCATCGTAAAACAATGTTGTTGACTGTATTCATCGTAACATTATGGTGTTGACTGTATGACATCGTAACATCATTGTGTTGCACTCTGTGGCGGTAGGCAGCGTCCAGTGTCCTTCAATAAAATACAAGTAAGGCACAGAACAATTCAATACATGGAACATAATCGATGAATATTTATTTTTCTTGTCAATGGTAATCTCGCCGAAAGACCTGACAAAGTGGATATTTTCAAGAGTGACACAGCCACGAATTAAATGCCATTCTTTTGTCATGAGTTGAAATAAACGTGTTATTTGTCAAGAAAAGACTCTATGTTTAACATGTTTCATTTACTAGACATTTGCAGAGAGAGGATGGCCACAGTGAACCACCTTCAAAAACGATGGCCGTTTATCAAAGGTGAAGGTTCAATGGACGATTCAACACTAGAGCCGAAAGCCTTCAGTGCAAATGATCAAGGGTCTCTATTGGAATATGCGCCTGGTGTAGGTTATTGTGGCGGAAAATATCCAATCTGGAGAAAAGGTAACTTCAGCTCGGACTCATACCTTCAAATAGTGAGTGAGTGAGTTGGGTTTAACGCCTCTTTTAACAGTATTCCAGTTATATCACGGCGTGTCAGCTTAATGTGGGAGGAAAGCCCCAAGTGATGCAGGTCTCAGACGTATATAAATTACCACGGGTATGGTGCTGACAAACCTAGAAACATAATCAGGTCGAACCGGGATTCGAACCCACAATCATAGGTTTCTGGCGTGCCCAAGGGACGCAACTCTGCACAGCGAATCGTGGGAAAAAATATATCATAAGTTATGTTGAACTTATTTGCTTGTCTACATTTGTGGCACATTCTGGAATTTGTTGCTTGTAAACACGATAATGTATCTCATGCAATGTCTTTTTAATGGGTAGTGAAATAGATGAGATAAACCAATACGAAAAACTTGGTATCACGATCTGATAAAAATGCAAACGGGGTCACCCAGCAGGAACTACTCGAAGTAAGCATTACACATCCATGTAAGCATTATTCATTCACGTAATGCCAATTTTCTCCAACCAAACGTTTAGGCTGGTTTGTAACTCGCATTCTGATTGGTCCGTTTCACTGAGCCATGTACCAAATCAAATACATGTACTTACGACAACCGTAGCATTTAGACGATCATAACTCCAATATTTTAACATACACACGTACTTACGACAAACATAGCGCTAAGATGAGGGTAACTCCAATATTTCACCATACACACGAACACATTACTCCAATATGTTAACATACACACGTACTTACGACAAACGTAGCGCTAAGATAATGGTAACTCCTATATTTTACCATATACACGTACACGTTACTCCAATAATTTAACATACACGCGTACTTACGACAACCGTAGCGCTAAGACGATCGTTACTCCAATATTTTACCATATACACGTACTTACGACATGTTTTGTCGAACTGGAACCGCTTAAGACACTCATCACTATGCAGTGAATTACCACCCGTGGCCCCGCCGAAGAGGTTGGCTTGTTGTTTTACGCCGCACTCAGCACTATTCCAGCTATATGACGGCGGTCTGTAAATAATCGAGTCTGGACCAGACAATCCAGTGATTGATGTCATGAGCATCGATCCACGCAATTGGGATCGATGACATTCTTCTACCAAGTCATCGAGCCTGACCCCCCGATCCTGTTAATCGCCTCTTACCACAAGCATACCGCCGAAGAGGATAGTCATCACGTCGAATTTGCCATTAAGGGGAAATATGTATTTTTCTCATTGACAACTTAATATTAACACGTTTTTCCCATATACATTTTAATTAACACCTGACGGAATTCATCATGTGAACTGACAGCATGATTGTTCCTCTATAAATATCTGATGTCTAATGAGTACATATGACCCGTGTTATTTTCTAGAAAGAGGCGATGGTGTTTCCGTGGTATGCATTCAAAACGAGACAAGCACCTGTTTCAAAGAAATGGAGATAGTGTCAAAGCAATGCCAGACCAGTGAAGTGTACAGACTAAGCACCGATGTTGTTGGGAGCGTATTTTGTTTTCGTAAGTATGATTCCCTAATCCGGCATTTATATATATAAATATATATATAAATTTATATATAAAATGTAGAAGATATTGAGCAAATACAAAATTATAAACAGCCAAAGACAACCAATAAAATCTTAGAAAGATTTTGACAAGTTCTAAATTTGATTCTGTTGTCATCACTCCACAGGTTTCTAAGTGCGGTGACAAACGTTGCCTAACTTGCAGCAATATAATTCAAGGTTGTTCAGTCCAAATTACAAAGGACAGTAAATTTACTGTAAAACAAAATATGATTTGTGATACTAGAAATGTTATTTACTTGATTGTTTGTAGTGGATGCAATGAAATGTATATCGGAAAGACAGAACCTTAAATTAAAAAGAAGAATGAATCTTCATCGTTGACAAATAAAGCAGCCACACAACCGCGCGATTCCACTCAGTGAACATTTAGATGCATGGGGAAACGGCAACTTTTACAGGGCAGTTACTCGAGCGGACAGACCGAAAACATTTCAGGAAAACTCGCAATGTTTCGGTAATGTTTGTGAGAAAGGGAAAGCGATTTTGAAGCACAGAATTAAAGAATGACATTATATGATAAAGAGGTTATCACGCGAGTGTGTTTGGGGATGGTAAATATCCTGCATTAGGAATAAACATTGTATTTAGCGAGCCTTGGCTCGCTAAATACAATGTTTATTCCTAATGCAGGATATTTACCATCCCCAAACACACTCGCGTGATAACCTCTTTATCATATAATGTCATTCTTTAATTCTGTGCTTCAAAATCGCTTTCCCTTTCTCACAAACATTACCGAAACATTGCGAGTTTTCCTGAAATGTTTTCGGTCTGTCCGCTCGAGTAACTGCCCTTTGTCAAAGGGAAGCTACTCTAACCCTATAGTCTATGAGACGTCTCGGCAACGGTCAGACGTTGTTGACATTCGGGCTGTCCTGTCATAACGTTAAGAAGTGTAGTCAGTACACACAGCGACAAAACGAAACAAGGTAACAATTCAAACATATTTCGGCCAAATCGAACGATGTAATTTGTGGAGAAGGTTTCAAGCCGCAGAGGTCTACAAGCACAGGTATGGCTACTGATCCCGCTTGGCTGGGCCAGGTGCCCTCGCAAAATTGTTTCGAAATCTACATCTCCAAGGTTGCCAAAACTTATAAAATGCCTTAGCTACATCACAGTTAGACACTGATTTTCAGTGTATTAGACTGTACTTTTGATACTGATAGCAATTATCCCTGTAGTTTATCCAGATTCCCCATGTTTAATTCTGACTAGATCGCCGAATGACGAGGGTGACGCCATGTTTGTTTATAAACAGTGAAAGTAGTCCCTACTTGACCTTTGATATTTGCATCTCTATCCGCATATGACCCCAACGGATATCGTTTTTATCCGTTGGCTTTATCCTGCCGAGAAACCCACCCATTATATGATAAATATATATATATATATATATATATATATATATATATATATATATATATATATATATATATATATGAAATTCAAATGAATAAGAATTTATCCTCTCGAATGTCCCCGCTTTAATCTTAAATGAAATATGTGTTCCAAAGAGGCTCGCGTTCGGCATTATGGGGATAAGGACTGGGCTGCTCGGAATCAGCTTAATGTGCCAGAGTTGGGTATTCATGCAAACCTGCGGCATGGTATCTCATTGAGAGTACGTATGGACTTTTGTACATGCTCGCTCTCTCTCTCTCTCTCTCTCTCTCTCTCTCTCTCTCTCTCTCTCTCTCTCTCTCTTCTCTCTCTCTCTCTCTCTCTTTCGCGAGAACGCGACTTCAAACCCTATTTAACCTCGCCTCCAATAACCTACACCCACCTTCTTATTCCAAAACATTCTAGAACCCAATGCTTGTAAGGATGAACCGTGTCAGAATGGAGGCAACTGCACAAGTACGCTGGAAGGTTTTTCTTGCAGCTGTCCGGACGGGTTTTCAGGACCCACCTGTCAAGGAGGTGGGTGTGTTTTCTGCATAAAAACTCAAACAATTCAACTATACTGAACAAAATTTCCTGTGACATTGAATAAGATTTAATGCAAAGTTAAGTTTTTTACCAAATCTGAAACAATTTCTGTTTGCAACAGATAAAAGACCCCTGTAAGTGTTCAAATGGTTTAATTTGCCAAACTGACTTCAGAAAATGCGTGATTTCATAAAAAAACATGAACATGCCAAAATGTCAATTTACAAATCAATAGTCCACCTCTGGTTGCGATGCAAGCAACACATCTTAGTCTCATGGAATGGACCAGGCGTCGCACGCAGTCCTGTGGGACATCTGTCCATATCTGCTGGAGCATGTTTCGAATTTCCTGGAGTGTCTGTGGAACACGTGGTTGACGTCGAAGCGCCGATCCATCTCATCCCACATGTGCTCGATTGGTGAGAGATCAGGGGAGCGAGCCGGCCAGGGGATGACATTCACGTAACGTTCACCACGACGTCGGTACCCTTCATCGCTGTGGCTGAGGTGAAAACGAGACTCGTCAGTGAATAGAACTAGTCCCCACTGCATGCCCGTCCAGCGTAGACGCCGTCTGCACCACTGTGCTTGACGGTGGTTTCCTGTCAAAATGGGACGTCTGGCGGGTCTTCTGGCGACAATCCCTGCACATCTGAGGCGACGACGTACGGTTTGTGAAGATATTCGTGTAAGGCCAGGAACTTCTTGCAGTCACTGTTGCTGGCTGGAATCGATTTCCTAGGTGTGTTGTTCGAATCAAGTTGTCTTGTCGATTGACTCGATCCTGCTTCAAGCATACCAATGGGTCGCAGACGCTCATTTTCGGACAGGCGTGGCATTTCGTAATGTTGAATAATTGCGTAATTTTGTTGTTTTTCTGAGTTGTTGTTGTCAGCACGATGCTAAACAATGCATATGGAATCCCTTTGACGCACATGTTCTTATACCCATTCTTGGGTAGTGAAATGCATGGGGCTTGCATCGAATGCATGCTTTTCTGTAGCAGTTGCGTTTTTATGATCATGACTTGATTCCACACATGTACTACAATATTGAAAAACAAACTTTACTTGTTTGAAAAATACACTAAAATATTGGTGTCAGAGGAACTTTTTTTGTTGAGTATATAAATCAAACACAAGAATAATATTATATTTTGTTTTGGTTTTGCAATACGTCTCAGTCAAAGTTTATTAACACACTTTCTGTATTGGAAGAAGTCATGTTGAATATGAGAGTGATTCACTTTGTGGACCCAGGAATCAGATGCAGTGATATTTGTTTATGTTTAGAATAAATAAAGGCTTTAAAACCCTTTCTATAACCATAAAGAGTCCATTGAACGATCCCGACCTTATCATACAAAGGGCTGATCTGGTTAATTAGATCACACGGATTTAGGAGAATAAACACTTGATTGATAAAAAAACAAACATACATTTTCATTGTGTGAATCAAGCAATATGTCGATATATTTTAAGGCAAATGAGCTGTAGATGATTTTTTCGTACTGAGCTACAAGTGGGCATGAAGGATGACGGGATATTTGATTACCAATCCAGGGAGCACATAGTATGACGTTCCAAATACTAGTGCACATGCCTCGAAAATTTATGTAGGCGTATTAATGCGCACAGTTACATAACTTAAGGGTTCGCTCGTCACGCCGCAGACCCGGGTTCTATTCCCCACATGGGTACAATGTGTGAAGCCCATTTCTGGTGTCCCCCGCCGTGATATTGCTGGAATATAGCTAAAAGCGGCGTAAAACCATACTCACTCACTGTTACCCGAAACGAATATGTCACAACGATGAAGTCTTTCTATTTGCAGATCCGTGTAGTAACACAACGATGTTACCCTCTATCGATAAACGTCAAGCTGAGGACAACAAAGTCTCTTTAAACGACCAGACGCTTCAAGCAGGCTGGTATGCTGTTCCCAGAGGGATGAAGCTTTTGGACCAACGACCTAAAGGACGGTCCGGTTGTTCATCATGGTATCCCATTTATGCTATAGGTGGGGGCCGTGCTTTTGCGTCTTATCTCATAAACCATTTCAAGTTTATGTAATGTGATATCGTGTCACATGATCTTCTGGTCCACCACTTGATTGGCTGGTTTGTTTTGGCCCCCGTCGCAGCGCAGGAGTACTGCTGTGCGGTGTCGGGCAACAAACACCTACATGTACCTTCTTATGCAAATTGTGGGAGTGGCGTATGCTAAAGACAGGGTAGGACATTCCTAACTTTTCTTTCTTGCGTGAATCGATGCGCACGATGTCAATCACTCGATTATCTGGCCCAGACTCGATTATTTTACTGACCGCGGTCATATAGCTGTAATATTGCTGAGTGTGGCGTTAAACAACAAACAAACAAACAACATGCCTTAGAAAGTAAACTGAGTTGCAAAAGAAAGTATACCGAATTGAAAACTGATAAAAACTTGCTGTATTTGACTGTGTCTTTTTAACCATCAGTCATTTCTGCAAAAGTCTGTAAAAAGTAATCTGTTGCTGGGCAATTTTGTGTAAAAATAAATTCGTACAAAAAAGATTGGGGTAAGAAATTAAGTTAGCCCTTTTTTAAATGTAAATTTGTGCCGGAAAAAAGCAAACTTATATAAAAACATAAGATGTCCAACATAAATCGGCCCGTGAAGACACCGGGCTAGAATAGGTCTTCAGCAACCCATGCTTGCAGTAAAAGGCGACTATGCTTGTAAAAGGCGACTAACGGGATCGGGTGGTCAGGCTCGCTGACTTGGTTGATGCATGTCATCGATCCCAATTGCGTGGATCGATGTTCATGATGTAAATCACTGGATTGTCAGGTCCAGACTCGATTATTTACAGACCGCCGTCATATAGCTGGAATATTGCTGAGTGCGGCGTTAAACAACAAACCAAACCAAACCAAACCAAACCAAAACCAACATAAATCTCCTATGACACGGGATCGGGTGGTCAGGCTCGCTGACTTGGTTGATGCATGTCATTGATCCCAATTGCGGGGATCGAGGTCGAGAGACTCGATTATTTACATTTACCGCCGTCATATAGCTGGATTTTGGTTGGTTGGTTTGTTGTTTTACGCCGCACTCAGCAATATTCCAGCTATATATGACGGCGGTCTGTAAATAGTCGAGTCTGGACCAGACAATCCAGTGATTGACATCATCAGCATCGATCCACGCCATTGGGGTTGATGACATGCATCAACCAAGTCAGCGAGCCTGACCACCCGATCCCGTTAGTCGCCTTTCACGACAATCAAAGTCGCCTTTTACGGCAAGCATGGGTTAATGAAGACCTGTTCTACCCCGGATCTTCACGGGTCCATATAGATGGAATATTGCTGAGTGCGGCGTGAAATAACAATGAAACCAACCAACCAATCTTATGACACACAAAAGGACATTAATTATTAATTGATTAAAAGCGAGCACCTGTTGCCTTTTACGGCAAGCATGGGTTGCTGAAGACCTATTCTACCCCGGATCTTCACGGGCTTTTGTGAAGGAATGACTGAAAGACATATACACTGTAGGCGTGTTTACAATCACATTTATATGGACTTTGCAAGTCAACTATAGTTTGTTTGTTGTTTAACACCACACTCAGCAATTTATCAGCTATTTGATGCCAGTGTGTAAATAATCGAGTCTGGACCAGACAATCCAGTGATTGACATCATGAGCCTCTATCCACGCAATTGGGATACGATGACATCCATCAACCAAATCAGCGAGCCTGACCACCCGATCCCTTTAGTCCCTCTTACGACAAGCACAGTCGCCTTTTCCGGCAAGCATGGGTTCTTGAAGACGAAATCGTCTCCGGGTTCAACTATAGCTATTGAATTAATCGGTTCATACCTTCTTGAGCAATGTGTGTTTTTCTCAAATTATGTTTTATGATTTGCAGGGAGGAAAGGTGACCAGGTCGCCATGTGCACTGGTACGCCATATACAGCATGTGCTGGTCCCTTCGTCACCATGGTAACAAAATGTGAAGACAGGGAGGTGTACGGAATTTTCAAACGGGCGACGTGGTCAGCATACTGTTTCGGTAATACTTATACAAGTTTCATTAATTATAACGAGGATCACTTTTGTGGTCAACGATGGCCTGACCTGCATCACTTTAAGGTTTTCTTTCAGTGAAAGTGACGCTTCCTGATCTCACTGAAATAATATTGAAAACGGCTCTAAACGCATTCATTCACTCTCTTACTGTCTTACTTGATAACGTCAGTCCTGTGAAGATTCCGGGTTATAAATGATCTTCAGCAACCCATACTTGTCGTAAAAGGCGACTAACGGGATCGGGTGGTCAGGCTCGCTGGCTTGGTTGATGCATGTCGTCGTATCCATATTGCGTATATCGATGCTCATGATGTCAATCACTGGATTGTCTGGTCCAGGCTCGATTATTTACAGACCGCCGTCAAATAGCGGGAATATACGATGACATGCATCAAACCATGTCAGCGAGCCTGACCACCCGATCCCGTTAGTCGTCTCTTACGACAAGCATTGTCGCCTTTTACGGCAAGCATGGGTAGCTGGAGACCTATTCTACCCCGGATCTTCACGAGTCCTTTGGTTTTGAATGGGTCCAGAGTATTTATCATCATACAATAGAGCTGTAATACCTGGATAATCTTTAATTAGAAAGCAGAACAAAATGAACACAAATACGTATATTCTTTGTTGCAGAATGCAACCCAGGCCCTGTTGATCTTCTCATCATCGAGGATGTCTCTTCTTCCGTTGAGAAACATGATAATGATAAGGCACATGAATTCGTCATGAATTTTGTCAATGGCTCTAGTATCAGCAAGGAGGAAAGCAACGTCGCTTTTATTACTTTCTCTTCAAAGGCACGCGTTGGCTTCAATTTGAATACATATGACAACAAAACAAATGTTCTCTCAGCTCTAAGTTCTCAGTGGGGTACGGGTGGGGGGACATACCTAGATCCCGCCATCAAACTGGCCAACGCGAACATCTACACTGAGTCTAGGGGGGATCGTCCAGATGCGAGGAACGTGGTTCTAATCATCACCGACGGCAAATACAAAGATGATGCTGTCGTGAGCATACAGGCGCTGCACGCAAAGGCGGAGGTGTTCGTCGTCACAGTGACGTCGAGCGTGGATAAGGCTGGTATCGCGAAGATCGCGTCTTCAAAGGATCACATATTTGACGTGGGTGGTGCCCTGAGTTCGATCTCTACTGCGGTTTTTGACCCCTACTGCAACAGTACTGTTCCTGCTTAAATCAACTACCTGTAGCTGTGTCAAAGAAATAAACATGCAAAGTCAAAATAGTTTTTAGAAGTTTTGTATTTATAAGACCTATTTTTCCTTTCCTGTGTTTTTAATTAAGTAAGTGAGTTAGTGGTTTTACGCCGCTTTTAGCTATATTCCAGCAATATCACGGCGGGGGACACCCGAAATGGGCTTCACACATTGTACCCATGTCGGGAATCGAACCCGGTTCTTCGGCGTGACGAGCAAACGCTTTAACCACTGGGCTACCCGACCGCCCCTCATGTATTTTTAAAAGAAATGAAGTACCTGTGTTCGATTATGATGTTCCCACGTCAAAAGTTGCTCTAAGGTCATACATTTCTCTGAATTGCGTAACGGTTTGCTTTCCTCCTGCATTGAGCTGTCGCACTGTGATGTAACCCAGCAACAGATTACTTTTTACAGACTTTTGCGGAAATGACTGATGGTTAAAAAGACACAGTCAAATATAGCAAGTTTTTATCAGTTTTCAATTACATAAAAAAAAACTCGGTATACTTTCTTTTGCAACTCAGTTTACTTTCTAAGGCATGTTGTTTGTTTGTTTGTTGTTTAACGCCACACTCAGCAATATTACAGCTATATGACCGCGGTCAGTAAAATAATCGAGTCTGGCCAGATAATCGAGTGATTGACATCATACGCATCGATTCACGCAAGAAAGAAAAGTTAGGAATGTCCTACCCCGTCTTTAGTATACGCCACTCCCACAATTTGCATAAGAAGGTACATGTAGGTGTTTGTTGCCCGACACCGCACAGCAGTACTCCTGCGCTGCGACGGCGGCCAAAACAAACCAGCCAATCAAGTGGTGGACCAGAAGATCATGTGACACGATATCAAATTACATAAACTTGAAATGGTTTATGAGATAAGACGCAAAAGCACGGCCCCCACCTATAGCATAAATGGGATACCATGATGAACAAGCGGTCTGTCCTTTAGGTCGTTGGTCCAAAGGCTTCATCCCTCTGGGAACAGCATACCAGCCTGCTTGAAGCGTCTTGTCGTTTATAGAGGCTTTGCTGTCCTCAGCTTGACGTTTATCGATAGAGGGTAACATCGTTGTGTTACTACACGGATCTGCAATCAGAAAGACTTCATCGTTGTGACATATTCGTTTCGGGTAACAGTGAGTGAGTATGGTTTTACGCCGCTTTTAGCTATATTCCAGCAATATCACGGCGGGGGACACCAGAAATGGGCTTCACACATTGTACCCATGTCAGGAATCGAACCCGGGTTTTCGGCGTGACGAGCGAACGCTTTAACCACTAGGCTACCCGACCGCCGCTCATGTATTTTTAAAAGAAATGAAGTATCTTTGTTCGATTATGATGTTCCCACGTCAAAAGTTGCACTAAGGTCATAAATTTCTGTGAATTGCGTAACGGTTTACTTTCCTCCTGCATTGAGCTGTCGCACTGTGATGTAACGGAAATCTCTGTACTGTTAAACGTTTTTTAAAACGACCTCAAGACAAATAATATGGTAATTTAAATTAAGTAGCAGTTATTAATTTTTGGCCATATTGTCGACTTTCAGTACCCTATACTGTTCCAGTATTGGCTAAAATACTTGTTCAACTCGTTTTGAAATAGGTAACTTTATCCCATGTAAATTCTTCTCGATGACTTACATTGGTAAACAATCCAGTTTGTTTTCAATGTTATCAGTGGTCCAATCGTATCAGGCGTCGTACAGAGTTACGTCCCATGGGCGTACCAGAATCTTTGATCATGGGTTCAAATCCCAGATTCGGCCTGATTAAAAGTATTGCCCCCCCCCCCCCCTTGATGATTTACCAAATGCTGACAGCCATTTGAGTGTTTAATTATATAAACAATGGATGGTGTAAGTTCGAGCAATCCCAAACAATATCAATCGCATCATGTCATGAGTGTCAAAACCATATTCCATGAATGTAGCAGACTCTGCTATGTTCTGATGATGTCAGCAAAGTAAGGCAAACAACAGACCACTACTCAATTTTAAATATGTATTGTAACTGGTTTTGAGGTTTAAAGATTTGTTCAATTTTTTTAGTCGAAAAATTTATTTTAGGGTGATATGATCTATGCAGCCTCAATCATTTATAGAATTGACCCTTGACCCCCTTCTTTTATGAAATATGAATTAACTCCCATGGCCAAGGCATGAAGGTAGAAACCTCTTTATTAATACAGAAATACCTTTTGTAAAACATTGATGAAGTGTACATCCTTAAACTCTCACAACTCTTTGCATCAAAACTATGTATTCTGGTGCCATATAGACATGCTGGATAGGAACAAGTAGTGAAGTTTAATCCAATTTCCATTTTTTATCTGAGAAGCTACATATATATACAATACATAAATCACAGATTTGACAAGTGCAAATATATTCTGATTTGTCTACAGTTCTACTACACCAAGAAATCTTGTCCATGAAAATACATCAGCGAACATTCAAATGACGTAGATGGTTACGTATGTTCCAAATAATACAAGCTCGGAAATATAGGAAAATACTTTTCTAGAGACCCACTGTTCAGGAAAATTAGATTTGCAGTTCCAGTTGAGGATTTGAAACAGGAATCGGACAAACGTATTTAAGAATCAAACTGAAACGTTTACAGAACGCTGAAAGCGACTATGTGTCCTACAAAGTAACATACACGTTTTGAATTTAAGTACAAGAAACAATGTAATGAACCATCCTCTTCACGTAAGTCATGTATTTCTGGTAAACCTTGTTTCAAATACATTCTCGCGTCACGTTATCCTTTCCAATCTCACTATAGTTAATGGAGCAGGTGAGTTTGGATTAAGCCGCTTTAATCAGTATTTCAGTTATATCTAGGCGTGTCAGCTACAAGTATATGTGAAAGAAAAGCCCGAAGTGAAGCAGGTCATAGAGGTTTGCCACACTGAGTAAACCCATGAGCACGGGTTTGGCGCTGAAGGTTACACACAACCAAATGTTTTCCCATAGACTTCTATAGTAACGTTATAATTTTTGTTTAAATAACTAAGCATTCAACAGCTATTACCTGTACGTGTGTGCACAGTTTGGCCTCAAAGCAGCAATAAAAACAATAAAAATGACTAGCTTATTCAGCTCCTTTTCCGAGTACCGGAAGCTAAACACACCACCCCCAGTTTCGCACCAAATGTCACCTACTTGAAAATAGCTGTGGTCACATTCAGCATAAGTCATCAGTTTGAAAAAGACAGTACTAAATATAGAAAAACATGGTCAGTTTTCATAACTGGATTGATGTACATTTGAAAGACAAAAAAAATCTTACAGAATATCCTCCAATCACAGCCTGCAGATATCTCTCGATCTGCACTGAAGGCTCCCTACGAAAACCGCAGTTTACAAACTGGTTCTGATTTGGTGGAGTAGAACCTGTAAGCCAATACTTTTAATCAGGTCGAATCAGGGATTTGAACCCATGATCAAAGATTCTCGTACGCCTATGGGACGTAACTCTGTACGACGCCTGATACGATTGGACCATCTACCTAATGTTAAGCGGCATGACTTTTCTTCCGGTATTGTCACTTTGAAGGACTTATATTCATATGAACTGATAACATTGAAAACAAACTGGATTGTTTACCAATGTAAGTCATCGAGAAGAAGTTACATAGGATAAAGTTACCTATTTCATAATGAGTTGAAAAAGTATTTTAGCCAATACTGAAACAGTATGGGGTACAGAAGCTTGTATAAATATTACCGAAACAGTATGCAGTATGCTGACCACATCGGCCGTTGATATTTTGATATCGCATTCATGTATTTCATGCAATACATCAACCAAACTTAGCTTACCAAACACAATTTCTTTAAAATATATGTCGATTTAGATTCTTATGAATCTAGTAGTATCGTAAAGTTTCAGAAACATTTCTGAACATTTAATCGGAAGGCACAAAGTCTAAATCGTTTTGACTGAAGTCGGTCACATATCGCCAGAATATTGTTTAGTGTGGCAATGTATATTTGTCAGATTTCCATTTGTATCTTAAATACCAGTGAAAAGATCAGGAACTCCCTACCCTAACTTAGGCCAGGTTCACACAGTGCCGATTATAGCTCCCGTTTGAGATCAGACAGCGCTACGACACGAAAAGTGAAAAAGTCTGATTACGATCCTCAATGATCTGGAATGTCCTATCATTGTCTGAACGCAGTCGTATACACGTTCGTATCAGTGTCCTACGGATCGGGAAAGGTCCAGAGAGTTCGGCCAAGCACTTCCAACAGTGTGGTGCGTCCCATAACATTCGGGAAACTCAGCCGATTTTGTCAAGTTGGATTACAATCGTGACTATGTCATGACAGATTCTGCTTTATCGAATCATAATCGTTACAATGTCCTGTGTTGTCTGGACGATGTCCTGTGGATCTGGACGCTGTCGTAATGAACGGGCATAAATTGTTCATTGCCGTTTCTGGGTCCAGATTGCGTCCAGATCTTGCCGAATGCGAACCGATTTTGTCGATTCACTGTCCGGTCACTGTCTGATCGATCTCTGTCGGATCGTATTCGGGAGAATCGGGACAGTTTTTTTACCATGCGGAAGATACAAATCGGATGAGATTCGGATTGAGAACGGGAGAATCGGGACGAATGCGGTTGGAAACGGCTGAATCGGGACGCTTCCTGAACAATATCTCATAGTTTGAGAATTTCCCCACCACGAATCACAGGATCTTGATCAGACGTTTCACAAATTTTAATCGGGAATGGTCCTGTCAAGGTCGGCAGTAAACGTCCTGAATCTGTGATTGAGCCCTAACATGTTCATCTAGAAACATATACCAGAATGACAAGACTATAACAAGAGGGATGACTCCTTTATATCAAGCAATGTTCCAGCAGTTTCAGCCTTTGGTGTTTAAACTTTTGAGGTACAATCGAGCTTACACTTTCTACGAAGAGTCTCAAACGGCTCTTTCTCAAAAGGTTTCTGATCACGGTATAACAGCTTCCAAGGCCTTTAAGTAAAGTTTTCAAGAAGTTTTGTGGTAGACATGTGGAGGACATATCCCAGATAATAAAACTGGGTTACTCGAAAATCCATGTCTTGTATGTTCACACACAAGATTTATATTATATATAGTTTCGAGTAAGCCAGGTTTATTATATTGACGTGCACAAACTTGTATAGTAAACGACGAAGACACAAACAGGAATAATCTTTTTCTGTTTTATCATAAACCAAATTGAATTGACTACATTCTACAAAATAAGATGATTGTAGCATCACATCAGCACTTGTAACAATATGAATAAAAAACAAAAAATAAAAACGATTTTTATTGTGTGTGTTTTGTTTGTTTTTTATGGCCGAAATTCCGCGCTTTTGTATAGTCAGATATATACACAAATAAGCTGACATATTTTCACACTCAGAGATAATGTTTTATAAACAGATAATAGTTCTGTAACATTAAGTCAGATTGCTGTTACGGAGAAATGCCATTGAACCAATAACTCTTGAGGCCGAGGTCAACCATTGAGTTAAAAGTTTCTGCACGCACAGTCTTGTGGGAGCCACAGGAAACGGAAGTTCAAACCGCTCTGGAAACCGCCGATCTTTCTTGTACAGTAAGATAGGAACCAGACCTTGGTGTAGTGAGTTCTCTGGCAGTAGCTCCGGGAACACATGCACGGCTGCTTGCATGTTTTGCTGTGGAGAGAAAAGTATCAGCTTAAATCAAACTTACAGATAATTGCCTGGAAACACGCATGTGTTTTCTTTGAAAGGAGGAGCCGCACAATTTAACTTTTTTTCACTCTTTCTTGAGGACATCCAGCATGTCCAGCGAACGATTTATATTTCAGTAATACGTCAAATTATATTTTCTCTAGAGCAAACTCTCTTTTCAAACAAATCACTTTAACCATCTGTAAATATGTGAGCTACAGTTAGTGGACATAAGTATTCGTCTCTTTGCAAAACACTAAGCAAAACGTGTGACGAAACATTCCTTTACTGTTGCGCCGCGAAGCGCAAGGACATCCGAGGTGAATCACGTGTGTTATATATAGAATGGCAAGTCACGTGACAGCCAACTGATGTCGTCTGCTTGCCCAAGTTATTGCACGGTCAGTCGCGGGAATTACAGGTCGAAAATCAGCTGAATTTTGCATTTGGCTGTGAGAAATATTGTATAAGCATCAAAACATATTGGAAATTACTCTGAGTTGGCAAGAATATTCGGAATACCTAGGACAACCATCAACAGTATAATTAGAAAACATGGGTGAGAGTGTTCGGCGGGAAATTTGTAACGAGATTAGAGATAAGACGGAACTTTCACAGGCCTTGAATATGTTATGAAGGTGTCGAAACACCTCTGAAATATATTGACAGTCTTGAAAATAATCTCGGGCCTGTTTTTACATCGTCGGTACCAGCTCCCATTCAGCAGGCACGCGCTGTGAAAGCGAACATCGAAAGTAAAATGTCAATGGGACGGAATGGCCGGCACAGTCTCCGGATCTCAATATCATTGAGAACATTTGGTTAAAAATCAAAAGACCGCCGTCATGTAGCCGGCATTTTGCCTGAGTGCGGCGTTAAACGTCAATAACGTCAATAAAACAAAAAAAATCGAAAGAGGTCTTCAAACGGGCTGAAACTATCGGTAATCGCGCTGAAGTTTTCACGATTATCAATGACATTTGGATCAATAATGGTTTGGAGTATATTCGCCAATTGAATTGTATTCCAGCTAGGATTCTTGAAGTCATTCGTATAAAGAGGCATCGGACCACGTTTTAAGTTGGTCATTAAAAATATCTTTCAAAATTCGATTCTTCAAAGAAGCGAAATTTTGTAAACAAACGGCCGCCATAATGGAAGTGACAAATATTTATGTCAACTGACTGTAGTTTGACGATCCCGTGTAAACTCGCAGGAGACGTATCTGACTTGCTGCTCGCTGGGTTTGATGACGTAGCAGCTGCCGTAGAAGCGGCCGAGGAAATTAACCTTTGGGGGACATGGCTCACATGCACTGGCGGCGAGACTGACCTCAAACAGCGGCTTGGAATTCGACCTGCAGGAATCGAGAAAAGGGACTAGAACCAAACAATAAATCATTAACTATTAATGATAGCAAATGATTCATTCGTCAGGATTCAAGATGATAATTATATTTATTCTTCATTTCTGTGTAATATTTGTATACCTTGATATGATGTCGGGATTGTCTTCAGAGACTGTCCTGGGCTCCGCGCATTTGCTGTCCTCGAGACCACTGAGAAACATCTGGCTCTGTCGATCTGTTGCAGACGCTGATATACGTCGTCTGGAAATAAAGGATGTAGTTTATATAAATAAACTGGCGGGCAAAGAAGAATACAAGTATCTGAAAGTGATTACAACCGTTATCAAAACGTTACTCAGCTGAAAATAGTCCCTGAAACATTGCGAACTTAAGTTCCCAAACACAACTATGACACACTTATCAAATACATCACCATCGAATACTAGTAACAATTTATTGGGTTTGTTTTATGCTCAGGCACCATCAAACAAAGGTGTATACTTACTTGTCAGGCAGTTGAATAAGGACGTATAAGCACGGTATTAAGAACTCATATTTCGATGTATATGGTAATATCTGAGTCAGCAGACAAAGTACGTTTTGAATTATTTGCTCAGATTGCCTGTTAACCTTTTTCGTTTAACTGTTTTCAACCAATCACATTTTAGCACGCATGTCCATGTCATATTTTGAAATATGTTCTTACATACGTGTTACCACTTACACGCTTAGAGATGAGTACTGTACATTTTATCCTTATTCATAGTAATTTCTTATTCATGGTATATCAGACCCGTGAAGATCCGGGGTAGAATAGATCTTCAGCAACCCATGCTTGCCGTAAAAGGCGACTATGTTTGTCGTAAGAGGCGACTAACGGGATATGTCATCAATCCCAATATTCCAGCTATATGACGGCGGTCTGTAAATAATCGAGTCTGAACCAGACAATCCAGTGATTGACATCATGAACATCGATATACGCAATTCAGCGATGTCATCGATCCCAATTGCGTGGATTGATGCTCATGGTGTCAATCACTGAATTGTCTGGACCAGACTCGATTATTCACAGACACCCATCATATAGCTGAAATATTGCTGAGTGCGGCGTTAAACAACAAACAAACAAAACATATAACCCCAAGGGTTGAAAATGCACCTGTATGTACTAAACATTGTCAAAGTGTCATTTTATGTTTATTAGTAGTTTCTATGTTAACAGATAGAAGGAACAATCTTGTTATGCACAGGCGAAAACTTAGTGTTACATGTTTTTAACAAATGTAACTTTTAAGACATATTTGTAAACATATAATTTATACATAATGTGAATAAGGAGATTCGCGTGGCCTTGTCGTCTTAGTCTAATTTGCATCTTTATGTGAGGTCCTAAGTTCGAATGTTCGTTTCGCTCTGATTATGATCCTTGGTTTGTCATAACAATACCCGTGGTCGTAGATTTCAACAAACTGGTAAACGACTAAGATACGCCGTGATATCACAGGAATACTCTTCAGTAAAACTTTCATTATAAGGTCCCCCCTGTTTTGTGGTTCACAAGGCCGTAAAGTTGGCTTTGAGGATGAGGCAGCCAGGCTTTGTGACTCGACATGTGCTGTTTCTTAATGAGAGAAAATGCTTTTTTTGAAAGGTGTCTGTATGTTTGAGACACTTTCTTATCATGTGTTCTGGTAAAGAATATGTCTTCACCTACAGGTGGCATACCCACTCCAGGCTTACCAGGCTTAAAATAAACAGTTCTCTTTTGTTCACGAGTGGACAGAAAGCAGAATCACTGTGTTCTATTTCTGTAAACTTAACATTCAGTACTGATGTAGGCCATAGACCCACCGTATATTATAGGGCACCACAGCTCGGTACATTAAAAACTATGGTTTAACAGCTCTTGTATTATTACTAAACATATCTCAGATTTTCTTACACTCATGCACGGTAGATAAAAGTAGTGAAATATCACAAGACTGTTACATTACATTGAGTATATTAAACTTTCTATGAAAGGTATATTTGGCGAAGATTTAATGTTTTGAAGTTGTTTGCTGTACCGTAAAACCTCGTCCATCAAGACTGTACCTTTCTCAGTGGATGTTTCAATGATTGAAAAAAGATTTATATCTGAAAGTGATGTCTTTTCATTTACACTTGAAATGGTCCGCCCTATGTGAATAACCCCTCAATTGTATTGTATGCCTATTATCCGCCTAACACTAAGAACGCACATACCTTACCTGAACACTGACAGCATTCAGAAAGACATGGGTATTGACATTCAACTTTACGGAGAAAGTCTTTCCCACGACGGACCAGCTAAATCTATACACCTTCACAGTTTGACTCTGTATTTGTTTATGGATATTGTAATAAAACACAATGACATAAACTGGGATGTAAATCAATGTGTACGCTCATGTAGACAATGTAATAACACATCTAATTTGTTTAACTCTGAATCATTTACTTTAGACTCTTCATCCGGATTAAGCAAGACATCTGCATGCATGATTTCGAGAAACGCTCGACAACCCAAATGGGGATTTGTGAAATATCAGTTGGTCACCATCTTGCGAATGAACCTGTGCACTTCGCCACAAACACTGTCCCGTCTCTGGAAATATTCAGCGAGATTAACACGAGCTGCACGACTGGACAGAGCCCACTGGCCGGGTTACTATAACAGTTGACACAGACACAATGAAGCATTACAATGAAGTTACAGTGAGTTCATTTGGCCAGCGAGCCAATCAGAGGCTTACAGAGAAACGTGATCGCCAGGCAAATTAGGAAGTTTAATTTACCGGAATTAATCAAAGAGCGTTGATTTGTTGCAAACTTAGTTGATTTATACACAAGTAAGAAAATTGTCCAACAATTTCTCTCTAGCTAGGCAGCTACTTGATCAAGTCTAACCTCTAATGCATAAAAACGTTTCTACAAATCATTTCCAATTTATCACTTTTTCCCCAACCACTGACTACTCATTACCTACTTTTCCAAATTTAATTTATTTGTAATATACTTAGTATTTTCACTATCCCCCGGGATACCCGAGTTTAAATCGTGATGAATCCGGTCTACTTGCATTGACAACAGTGGCATTTAATAAACATGGATAAACATTGAATTTTCTTATTTCGAGAAACGATAAAAATGCTACTCGGAGTGCTTTTTTCCATTTCTCATTCATCATTTACAACAACAAATATTTGTCATAGTAAACATAAGATACTGTATATATTGTATATATGATAAATTATAACTACACTTGACACATCTGTAGCTGTGAATTCCCCAAAGTGCAATGTGTCCTTGGAAATGGTGGTGCTACGATCGAGCCCACGAATTCAAGCCTGGTTCGGCAAGGGTGGAAACTGGACTTTTAAAGTCACTTAACTCCTTGCCTCGGGAAGATGAAGACTGTATGGCATGAGGAATGACTAATGTTGAGGACATATCCAAATTTGACGCATCAGTGACAAAACATGAGGTCCCATGTAATACCCTATTCTAACTTGTACCATAAATTCAAGTGTTTCTGGGGGCACGGGTGGCCCAGTCGTCTAAGGCCCCATGATTCGCTGTGCAGAGTTGCCTCCCTTGAGCACGCCAGAAACCTCTGATTGTGGGTCCGATTCTCGGTTCGCCCCGATTATGTTTTTAGGTTTGTCAGCACCAAACCCGTGCTCGTGGGTTTCACCGAAGTGGTAAACGTCTGAGACCTGCATCACTTCGGGCTTTCCTCCCACATTAAGCTGACACGCCGCGATATAACTGGAATACTGTTAAAAACGGCATTGAACCCAACTCACTCATTCAAGTGTTTCTTTTCAGTGAACAATTGACTTGCCTTTGCGTGTGTTTGTGATAGTGTCAGCGGTGAGACAGGATGCGATCACCTTTTCATAAACACATGCTAACGACACTATTCGATCGTGATTCATAAACAAAAGAACTCCTATATAATACACCTGGCTTCCTTGAACAACCCGTGAATATACACAGACAAGACATATATATTCAAGTGAGCCAGGTATATTATATAGTCGTCTGCAAGCTTGTATTTTAAACGAAGAAAACACAAACAAGAATAATCTTTTTCTCTTTTATGACACACCAAACTGAACTGACTACATTTTACAAAATAATAATATGATTGTAACATCACACCAACACTTGTAACAATATCAATGAAAACAACAAATAAAAACGGTTTTTTCTGTCTTTAATTCTGTTATTGGCCAAATTTGATGTGTGTGATTTTTTATGGCCGAAATTCCAACATCGAAGGAAAGAAAACTATTAGATTTCCAAAACTTCTCAACATTTTGGAATGGCGTAATTTGTAAACCATGTAAAAATGCCTGCTCGAAATGATATACTGTGGAACAGATGCATCAAGATGCATATATAGGAAATGTGCTTTTCTATAGTCAGATATATACACCAATAAGTTGATCATGACATATTTTCACACTCACGGAAAATGTTTTATAAACAAATAGGAGTTCTGTAACATTAAGTCAGATTGCTGTTACGGAGAAATGCCATTGAACCAATAACTCTTGAGGCCGAGGTCAACCATTGAGTTAATAGTTTCTGCACGCACAGTCTTGTGGGAGCCACAGGAAACGGAAGTTCAAACCGCTCTGGAAACCGCCGATCCTTCTTGTACAGTAAGATAGGAACCAGACCTTGGTGTAGTGAGTTCTCTGGCAATAGCTCCGGGAACACATGCACGGCTGCTTGCATGTTTTGCTGTGGGGAGAAAAGCATCAGTTTAAATCAAACTTACAGATAATTGCCTGGAAACACGCATGTATATTCTTTGAAAGGAGGAGCCGCACAATTTAACTTTTTTCACTCTTTCTTCAGGACATCCAGCATGTCCAGCAGACGATTTATATTCCAGTAATACGTCATGTCAAATTATATTTTCCCTAGAGCAAATTCTCTTCTCAAACAAATCACTTTACCCATATGTAAATATTTGAGCTACAGTTACTGGACTTCAATATTCGTCGCTTTGCAAAACATGTGACGAAACACGAAGAGCGAGGACATCCCAGCTGAATCACGTGTGCTCTGTACGTAACGTGCAAGTCACGTGACAGCCATCTTATGTCGTCTGCTTGTCTCAGTTTTTACACAGTCAGCCGCAGGATTTATAGGTCGCAAATCACCTGAATTGTGCAGTGGGCAGCGAGAAAATATTGTAAAAGTATCAAACCACACTGGAAACCCCTAAGTGTTGGCAATAATAATATTCGGCATACCTAGGACAACCATCAACAGTATTACTAGAAATTATGGCCGGTTCGGTAGAAAATTTTGAACGAATTTGGCGGAGGAAGTCTTTTAGCATTAGAGATGAGACGGAATGTCACAGGTAGTGAAAGGAAACAGAAAAACAATTTTGCAAGAAATGACTAATATAATTAATGAGGGAAATGAAGTCAATTTTTGTCAAAAGACTGTCCAGAGAGAAACGGTTAGGTATGAGCTATCGCAGACGACGATGAAGATGGTGGTGCCAGGTTGTGGTTGGTTCCAACGACCGAGTTTTCATTTGGAGGAAGGACAATGAAATCAACAGTCACCATCTCGTGTGCTCGTAAAGGAAGGTATCTGTTATGCTTTGTGTGTGTGTTGGGGGGGGGGGGGGGGGGGGGGGGGGGGTGAGTATGTTATGAAGGTGTCGAAACACTGAGGCAATATAATATCCTCTGAAATGTATTGACATTCTTGAAAATAATCTCGGGCCTGTTTTTACCAACAAAGCGTACACATTCAAATGATGACAATGCTCCCGTTCAGCGGGCACGCGCTGTGAAAACAATAATGTCAATGGGACGGAATGGCCGGCACAGTCTCCGGATCTCAATATCATTGAGAACATTTACTTAAAAATCAAAAGACCGCCGTCATGTAGCTGGCATATTGTTGAGTGCGGCGTTAAACAACAAATAATCAAACACAAATCGAAAGATGTATTCAAACACGGGCTGAAACTATCGGTAACCGCGCTGAATTTTTCACGGCTATCAATGACAGTTGGATCAATATTGGTCTGGAGTATACTAGTATTCGCCAATTGTATTCCACAATTCCAGCTAGGATTCTTATGAAGTCATTCGTATCAAGAGCAATTTGACCAAGTTAGGCCATTAAAAATTTCTTTCAAACTTCGATTCTTCAAAAAAGCGAAATTTTGCAAACAAACAGCCGCCTTATTGGAAGTGACAAATATTTATGTCAGCTGGCTGTAGTTTGACGATCCCGTGTAAACTCACCCGCAGGAGACGTATCTGACTTGCTGCTCGCTGGGTTTGATGACGTAGCAGCTGCCGTAGAAGCGGCCGAGGAAATTAACCTTTGGTGGACATGGCTCACATGCACTGGCGGCGAGACTGACCTCAAACAGCGGCTTGGAATGCGACCTGCAGGAATCGAGAAAAGGGACTAGAACCAAACAATAATCATGAACTATTAATGATAGGTAATGATTCATTCGTCAGGATTCAAGATCATAATTATATTTATTCTTTATTTACATGTATTATTTGTATACCTTGATATGATGTCGGGATTGTCTTCAGAGACTGTCCTGGGCTCCGCGCATTTGCTGTCCTCGAGACCACTGAGAAACATCTGGCTCTGTCGATCTGTTGCAGACGCTGATATACGTCGTCTGGAAATATAGTATGTAGTTTATATAAATAAACTGTCGGGCAAAAGAAGTATTCAAGGATCTGAAAGTAATTACAAACGTTATCAAAACGTTACTCAGCTGACAATAGTCCCTGAAACATTGCAAACTTCAAGTCCAAAACACAACTATGACACCCGTATTAAACACACCACCATCGAATAGTATAGTTGTAACCATGTATTGGTTTTTTTATGTATACTTTCTTTTGTCAGGCAGTTTAGTAATTATGCATGTAGGTTTCATTTTATATAATGAAGAGAATTTATGGATGTCAACATCTATATTATGAGGAACATATGTTTCGGAGTATATGCTTACTCCTTCATCAGGTTATGAAGGAGTAAGCATGTACTCCGAAACGTTGTGTTCCTCATAATAAAGAAGTTGACATCCATAAATTCTCCTCCTTATGTGTATCATTTCAAAATGCCTTTCAAAGACTTCATTTTCTATGCTTTATTTTTTTAATTCTTCAAAGTTTTAAAATAACACTGTTACAAGAACTTATGTCACTCGTGGATACGTTATGATGTAGGACGCGCAAAGTTAAGCGAAAACCTGGTGTCATCATTGCTGTAGTATTTCCAATCATGAACTCACCTGAGAGAAGCGTATGACCGTATGACACCTAGGGTGGTGTTGGGCTCCAAATTTAAAGCATTGTCATCAGGAGCCGGGCATTGTCCAGCCACAGCACTGATCAGTACACATGCACTGAATAGGTAGACAATCTGGAAATAGGTAATGAAATCAAATCAAATTCGCATATGTACCGAAACCATTATTTACTGTATTAAGAAACTTATTGAAATATTGGACAAGCATTAGGCGCGTTCAGGTTTAAATTAATGTAATTTATTTATTACACATTTCTTGAATATTAAGTGATTTAACGTTTTCTTTAGGTTTTAGCTACAACAAGTAAAAATCGGAATATAGGATATTTGCAACTTCTTTACATTTGCCGAATTCTTACTTTAATCAATCATATTTGTCACAGCAATTTCATCTAAACATGTTAAGTCGATGCGACATGACAATTGTACAATGTTGACTAAAATCTTGAAAAATATTTCTTTCGAAGCGAATTTTACAATGCTCAAATGCTATAATACAACTTAATGCAAAATGAAAACCAAACAAATTTGACTTACCATTTGGAGGTTCATCTTGATGATCCTGGCTGGTTAGTGGATGCCGGCGCGTCAGCTTACGGTTGAGTTGTCTTGCAGTCTTGGAGACGTTTGCTGCTTCGTCCTCCCTGCAGCTTATATAGTCTATGGAACCACCCAAGAGAGCGATTCCACCAATGGCTGGGAAACTTCCTGGTTGTGACATCGGGGTAGCATTTGACTTCTGGTTGTGACATCCGGGTAGCATTTGACTTCAGAGATCTTGCGCGCGCTGAGAGTTATTTTAGTCATCGCTCATTGAATACGTGAGTCATGAGCGTTGCTTTGCGTCCGCAAACTCGAAAAGAAAATGATCAGGCGAAAACGTATCTAGTTCTATTTTCAGATTATGAATGGCTACCTTGTATTCTTGCACGATTTGATATATTAATAACAGGATTACCTTTTGTGATATAAGATTTTCTGCGTCTCAAAGCCGGTATAAATATATAATAAGGAGATCCAACCGGTCTAGTTCTATTTTTAGATTATGGAGGCTTCGCTGTCTTCGCACACGACTTGATAAATTTAGAACAGGGTTGCCTTTTTGTAACATGAGGAATTCGTAGTCTAACAAGTTGAAACTATTTTACTCAATAATATTTTAAATTACACATTTATAAACCTTCATCGCTGTTATAGGTCATCCACTTTTGTTTTCCTATGGGTGTCCCTGTATATTTTTTAGAAGTTTACAAAATATACGTTATTGGTTCACACCTTTATTTTCTCATGTAGAAATGTCCTCCAAATCATACGAAACTGATCAATTATTGTTTTATGTCCGTACTCAGGAGGCCACAGACTGTAGCACAATGTATACGCAACGTGGAGGAATAGACATACATTACTAAATTGATATGAGACATGACTTTTCAAGGTAATGGTATAATATTAATGTTTTGATATAAGGCAAATCTGCTGTGTCCTGCAGGTATAGTTTCTGGTATTGCGGAAAGGTATATAAGGTGATAGATTTGATATTTTATTGACATTCACAACAACCCTTCGCGTATGTATGAGCCTGGAATTTATTTAGACACGAATTTCTAAATATCTTAAACATGTTTTATTTTTCTTAAAGGTGACATACATGTTTCGATGATTTTGGACATTTTGGTTGAAAATCGCCGATTAAAGAGAACACAATCAATTGTTGAATAAATCGGTACCTTTTATTTAGTTTCCTGTACACGTTTTTAGCTATTTAAAGGGTAGTAAAATAGTCCGCTGTGTAAAGTCATTTCCAGCCCATACATTGTTATTGGTGAAATTTTAGAAATTGAGACATTGTCGCTCTGTAATCAGGGTGTTAAGAACTCATATTTCGATGTATATGTTAAATTTGAGTTGGCAGACAAAGTACGTTTTGAATAACTTGCTCAGATTGCCTGTTAACTTGGCTCTGTTCATGGCCTGTTTCTCATAGGCTGAAGATTCAGTTACCCGGGTTCATTATTTTCCACCGAATGGTTCAGCCTGAATAAATATTTTATATTAGGTCAATTTAAAACAAAGAAATGCCTGGAATAGCTTCTCGTCATCAACTGCACCTTCCGTCCCAGCTGCACTAAGAGACTTGTGCGTTGAATTTGTCATGTATGTAGCCCTCAGAGTGGGCCGTTATTTTTTAAGTACAATCCTTCTCAAATCTCTCCCGCTGATCGAAGGTGAAACTATATAATAAGAAGATAACTAGTATGTGTTTCAGATTTGCGGATGTTATTGAGAATTAGATGCCCGAAGTTTTCATGCTGAATATTCCTGGCATCAAAAACTTTATAAGACCCGCAAATCAGAAAACACATTATGCTCAATGAAAATGTATTTGCATCAATGACAAAATCTATAATCTGTTATCTTGTGAAATGTATTCATAGCCAAAAATAATTACAGAATCCGGGGCTTCCAATTTATTTAGTTTTTATGTTCACAGTAAGAAGGAACACTCTTTTTATCCCCAGGCGAAACTTAATATTACATGTTCTTAACAAATGTAACTTTTAAGACATATTCGTAAACATATATACATAATGTGAATAAGGGGACACGTGTGGCCCTGTCGTCTAAGTCTAATTTGCTGTGCAGGCATGTTTAGGCGAGGTCCTAGGTTCAAATCTTCGTTTCGCTCTGATTATGACCCTTGGTTTGTCATTACAATACCCGTGGTCGTAGGTTTCAGGAAACTAGTAAGCGTCTAAGATACCCCGTGATATAACAGGAATACTCTTCAAAGAAGCTTTCATCATAAGGTTCCCCCTGGATTGTGGTTCGGGATGACGTAAGAGTTTGCTGTGATGAGCATGTACTGTGTCATAATAGGAGAAATTGCTTATTTTGAAAGGTGTCTGCATGTTTGAGACACTTTCATATTATGTGTTCTGGTAAAGGCTTTAGAAAGAAATACAATGTACATGTATGCAAGTTGATACTGTTATCGAAGGCCAACAAACGTTTGCAACAAGTTGTTCAGCATCATATCCAGGTGAATAGCGTGAAATCGATTGTTTTTGTCAATATTCTTTGGTTTTGTCAGGAATAGAATCCGGTAATATGTGTTCCATAAACGTCAACCGTGTCCGATTTTACCTAGATGATCTTTCCTGATACATGCAATATATATGCAAATTACAATGCCTCGGTTTGTTTTTTATTATGTTCACAGATTATTTGGGAAACAGAGACTGGTTGCAGTCTAATGTCCGTGTTTCATTTTTAGGTAGGAATTTGTAAACAGCATGAAACTAATCTCAATGTAAAGGGATTTTCTTACATTCATGCACGATATATAAAAGTAGTCAAATGTTTCAAGACTGTTACATTACATTAGTATATTAAACTTTGTGATTGATGGTTGGACATAATATTTTTCTATGATAGGTATATTTTGAGAATATTTTTAGCGTATTGAAGTTGTTGTACGCAGAGAAACTAGCTAAATATATACACCTTCACAGTTTGAGTGTGTATTTGTTTATGGGTATTGTAATGAAACATAATGACAATAACTGTGATGTAAATCAATGTGTACGCTCATGTAGACATTGTAATAACACAAGTTGTTAAACTCTGAATCATTTACTTTTAGCTTACTTTTCATCCGGATTAAGCAAGACATCTGCGTGTCTGATTTCGAGAAACGCACGACGTCACAATGGAGGATTAGTGAAAATCAGTTGGTCACCATCCTGCGTTTGAACCTGTTCACTGAGCCAGAGACCTTGGCCCGTCTCTGTAAATATTCAGCGAGATCAATTAGCGCTGCACGACTGCACAAAGCCAACTGACTGGGTTACTATAACGGTTGACACGGACACAGTGAAGCATTATGCTTGTGGTTATAATGAATGAATTCTTGTGGCCAGCGAGCCAATCAGAGGCTAACACAGACACGTGATCGCCTGGCATATCAGGAAGTTCAGCTACCCTGAATGAAACTAAGATCGATGATTGGTTTCAGACAAAGTTGATTGAGACACTCTCTAGCTATAAGCAACTACTAGATCATATCTAAACTTCTCGGTAGGGTCTAAATACATAAAAACGTTTCTACAAATCATAATATATTTGTTATCCCCCGGGATGCCCGAGTTTGAAGCGTGATGAATCCGGTCTACTTGCATTGACAACAGCGACATTTAATAAACATGGATAAACATTGAATTTTCTTATTTCGAGAAACGAAAATAATGCTACTCGGAGTGCTTTTTGTCCATTTCACATTCATCATTTACAACAACAAATATTTGTCATGGTAAACATAAGATACTGTATATATTGTATACATGATAATACACTTGACACATCTGTATCTGTGAATTCTCCAAAGTGCAATGTGTCCCTGGAAATGTTGAGTCCACGCAGCCAGTCATCCAGTACTCAAACATATTCAGAAATACAGAAATGTGTACATAGAAAATTGGAAATCACCCGCTGAGTTGAAAGAAAATGTTAATTTGAGAACTATCATCCGCGAGTTAGGCAAAGGCTGGGTCTTACAGGTCAACTCGGGTGAATTCATAACAAAAAAAGGCTTGAAAATACATTCAGCATAGGAAATTCGGGTTGGTACCTGGAATGTTAACGGCTGGTCCCTTTTAGATCACGAAAATGGTACTTTTCGTAAAAATACAGCAACACTTTACGATTTTGATATACTATGTATATGTGAAACCTTCTTGCGGGTGAATAATGTACTTCATTTAGATAACTACAAGTGGTTTGGTAACAACAGAAAAAGTATAAACAAACTTGCTAAGCGTGGCTCTGGCGGGGTGGGTGTGTTTGTGCATGATCGATTGCTCAATATGTACAATGTGTCAATCATAGATGAGGGGGCACGGGTGGCCCAGTCGTCTAAGGCGCCGCGATTCACTGTGCAGAGTTGCGTCCCTTGGACACGCCAGAAACCTATGATTGTGGGTTCGAATCCCGGTTCGCCCCGATTATATTTCTAGGTTTGTCAGCACCATACCCGTGCTCGTGGGTTGCACCAAAGTGGTAAACGTCTGAGACCTGCATCACTTTGGGCTTTCCTCCCACATTAAGCTGACACACCGCGTTCGTTACTTACATTTTAAATAAACCTATTTCAGTGCAGGAAGTTGAAAAGGCTGTTTTTAGACTTAAGAATGGAAAGGCTGCAGGTGTAGATGATATTCCTGCTGAAGTGTTAAAAAATATAAATTCAGTTGATTTTTTTGTACAGAATTATTAACTATTGCTTTGAAAATGGAACTGTACCAGCTATGTGGACCAGCGGTATAATCCATCCTATTCCTAAGAGTGGTATGACGGATTTTAGAAACCCTTTAGAATAAAGAGGTATCACTGTAACATCTATTCCCTGTAAAGTATATGCTGATGTACTCAATTCAAGACTAACTGAGTGGCTTGAAAAGAACAATATCCCAGCAGATGAGCAAAATGGTTTTAGATCAAAAAGAGATTTTATTGATTATTTATGTGTTTTAACGTCTATAATTCAGTATAGAACAACCAAAAAACAATCAACCTTTGTTACATTTGTTGATTCTAAAAAAGGCTTTCGACACAGTTAATAGAGATTCTCTGTGGTTGAAGCTGAGGAACATTGGAGTTCGAGG